TGCGAACTTCTATCATACTCTTTTTGGAAGAGCCACCTACTTTAAAAGGGTTCGTAAGAGAAAAATAAATGGCCTGTGTGTGTGTGTGTGTGTGTGTGTGTGTTTGTGTGTCAGTATCTCCTCGGACAGCTGTGTGAACAACAGAACTAGAGCACCCTAATGCATTTCTGTTTTCATGTACTGTCTTTATCAGCAGCCTAGGTAAATCTCTCTTAGTACATTTGCTACTCTTCTTGAGTGGAAGGAGACAAGTGATGGTTTCTTGTACTCTATTCCCCTTTTCTAATGATGTGCTTTACCCAGTAGTAAAGCAGGTAGATTTACCAGGTTGTTACCTACAGATACACTAGTGAGCCTTTAAACGTAGTGGAAAGAACTAACTTTTAACTCCTTTTTTTTGGAAAATAAATATTAAATGAGTGTATCTGTTAAAACTTGAATGTCATTATTTTAAAATCAAAATCTCCTTTTTTAAAAAAACTAACATTTTCCTTATCATATATGAGACGAACTTACCCACTAACCTTTCCATTTTCAGAAACTTCCTTTGACTTGAACTAAGATGTATTAGAAAAGAAGAAAAACATATAAAAATCAGATCCTGATGTTTTGCAAGAATTTTCATAATCAGAAATACTCATGTTTCTTTTCTTCTTGACATCTAATATTCCCGTTTTTCCTCTGAATCTTTATATCTTCTCTAATGTATATTGTGTACAGAGGTTCAAAAGACTATTTTTTTCAGGGTGCTTTTCATTAATTCTATTTATAAATTTACTTTTCTTACTTTGTAGCATCCTCTGTCCAGACTCTTTTTGCCATCTATTTAGTGGCATCGTGTGATAGCTGGTGTATTGACGGATGTAATGCTATTTAACAGCAAATAGTCTATAGACAATAATTAGGGAGTATTTCTTTGACTGAAGCTGTTAATACTTATCATAGAAATATAAGGTTGAAACAGACAGATTAGCCATATATATTGGTATCTAACAGTACACAATCTCTAGTGGGTATGTGAATGTTTAATTGTCGAACGTAGTTGTTGCTTCCATGACATCTGCCTATGGATGTTGTAGTCACCTGTAAATTCTTTTAACAGCTTATTGTTATCTGTTATTTTAAAATATATCAAAGTTCTTTTAATTTATATAATATTATAATGTGCTCTCGGGCATAGATTTCTTAGGTACATAATCTAAAATTTTACCTACTATTTGCTCCTCCCTGAAAATAAAGAGGTTTGAGCTGGCAGAAGGCGCTCCATTCAGAAACCATATAGGGAATTAGGCAGCTGCTGTCCTTGGTGATGAAATCATTTCATGTGAATTCTTAAGGAAAACAACTAGTTAAAAAAGCAGGATAATCTTAAGTATATTGTTTGTGGCTACTGTTGGTATGAAGATAGATCTATCTGAACTAGAAAAATACAGACTCCAGTATCTTAATGTCTTGAGTTCCTGACTGCCATGCAGAGGAAATGTTTAACTATTTTAATCATGTTTCTGTATCTCAGAAAGAAAGCCCTTATGAGAGGAAATGACAATGTCCTACCACAAAGTTATCTCTTATCAGTTATAGTCTCAGTCGATAATGATTTGTCAAACTTGGACATGTGTAAAATGCAAGGGCTGTGTTATTTACTTTGGAAAGGAAAAATTAGATGAAGCTGATAAAGACGGAGTCATGGCTTTTGTTAGGAGACAGAAACCATTAGAGGCAGTCATTGTTAGCTTAAGAAAGTGTCCTTGGACCCCTCCCTCTGCCTCAGCTGAAACCTAAACCTGCTTGGATCATTCTTTGCAGCCTGAGGGGAGGCAGGGGCAATGGAGAAGAAGAATGAAGACAGCTCTGACAGAGATTTAGCATTTTTTAAATAGGGAGCAAAATGTGGACCTTGAAATAGACTATTTATGTGAGTTAGGAAACATTGCCTTTTGTTCTAGTACTCCTTCCCCACTCCCATTTATTTAGGTTTTTGAAAGTTCATTTCTTATCCTTTCAAACGTGTAGCATTCCTTCACGTACAGTGTATGTTGCTCTCCTCCTTCCACCTTTCTGAAGATGTAAGTGATTCTTTTTCATTAGTGGAAGCAGAGAAAACACATCTAGCTCAAAGCAACATGAGTCAGTGCATGCTTTACATACCTTTCTTCTCACAGCACTCTCCTGGGTTCCTCACAGTGTTCCTAGTGTTCCTCACAGAAGGGAGCATGGAGGAAAAATGATTTCTAAACAGTAGGCTATTTGGAGGGTGGAAATGAAAGTTTGCCCCATTCTGCTCCTTCTTGTCTAGATTTCTGTGTACCACTTTCAAAGCAGGAAAGCATGTGCTTAGGAGGACTTAACTGGATTATGATTTCAGAGGCTAAGAAATAGCAGAGCCAGTACTTCCAGGTCAGAGTACTTTAAACAGTTTGAAGCTGAATATGATGATGTCAAGACAGCCTCATAGAAAATAGGTTTGATAAATATTTGGTGGAGATGACAGGAAAAGCCTTTGTCTCCTCTCTAATTATATTTATTTTTTATTTGGCCCAGATAAACCAGTCTTCTCAGAACATTAGTAAAGGGCCCCATTAGGTTATTTGTCACAGATTTCTGGGGAAACTGTCCCCTAATGTGGATGTTCATTCTGTAAGGATGGGTCTGACTTGTGAAAGGACCAAGGAAGGCTCTGTCTGGGCAATGGTTAGAAGCAGTTTCCTTTTGAATGAAACCATGGCTCTGAGTTCAAAGCAAAACAAAATAAATAAACTGCATGAAGAAGAGCATATAAACAAAGTTGTGATGAAATTTGTTTAAAATTAGGTAAAGTTTTCTTAAACTTTTTTAAAGTATATATTTCTAAAAAATAACTTTATAATTGTTAATTCTAAACAAAGGGAAAAAGTTTCATTTTCTATAGAGATCAAAAAAATTTTTTTTATGCATTTCTTTCTTGTCTTTTTTTATATGCACATGTAATTTTTAGGTAATTTAAATACTATTGTAAATATAATTTAATGGAAATTTTCTATGGTTTCTTCTTTTGAGATTGTTTTCCACTTAGCTCTAGTTTTCACTAGTAGGCTCTGGTTTTCTGGAAAAATAAAATAACTTTCCTTGAAATCTCCACTTCATAGAGGAGCGACTGTAAAGGTGCTTTAATATTGTGGTCATTTCAAATAAGAATGCCTGGAATGATCACCTGCTGCCTCTTTTTGTGTTAAGATGAAAATGAGTATCCATTGTACTCTTACATGCTTTTTAGTCGTACTTTTCTTTACCTACGTGGTGCCCGTCTGTCCATAAAATGTTTTTCTCAGTAATTTGGCAATGCTCACTAACTGTTTCTTTCTCTTTTTTCTTTTTGGCCGCACCACACGGCATGTGGGATCTTAGTTCCCCGACCAGGGATCAAACCCACGCCCCCTCCATTGGAAGCGTGGTGTCTTAAGCACTGGACCGCCAGGGAAGTCCAATGCTTACTAACTTTTCTAAATGCCTTTTTTTTTTTTTTTTGAAAGGGAAACTACGCTTTGGCCATGGTGTAGGATCTTAAGCACCTTATCATCTTTGGATTCACAAAAAGTTTGTTTTGAGTGCTTACAGAGTGTACACTGTATAGAGTGAGGTTCCCAAACATAGAGATTTAATCTCTACTCTCATGGATGCAAAGCAAATGAACAGAATAGTCAATAAACTTGAACCAATATATAGAGAGATGTGATGGTTTTGGAGGGAAAAGAAAGTAGGTATTGTACTGTTGAATTGCAGAACGAGTAGATTTCATTAGGAACAGCATCTTGATGAAGAATCTGTTACCTAAAGAAGATATGAGGCTTACTTTATGAAGTAAAGGAAACTGACCTTGTAATCATGAATCAGCCCAACCCAATTTAGATGTGCCTGCTGCCTATATTCTGATGAATGATACAGTTACTAGTGTTACAGTAAAAACTTTAGCTAGGTCTTTATTTTGACTACTGTATTTCTTTATGTAGTTTTGTCTTTTTTGTTTTATTTTGTTTAATATTTGCTTTCGGTGTTTCCTTTTATTCTTGTTAAATTTCTATGGGTCAACTGGATAGTTTGATAGTTTTTTTTTTTTTTTTCAGATGAGGAAATTGAGGTCAAAGTAAAGTGTGACTTATTCATCGTCACGATTGTAACAAATCAGTTTTAGCACTGTGACTATACTGCAGTTCTTACCTGATGTTTTTTTGTTTTACTTTCTCTTTTGATGTCTAGGATTAATCTGTATGCATTGTTCATATTACAATTTTTTGATATTACTCTAGGTTTGGTTTTCCATTCATTATCTTACTTTTAAAAATATAGGGACTTCCCTGGTGGCGCAGTGGTTAAGACTCCGAGTTCCCAATGCTGGGGGCCCGGGTTCGATCCCTGGCCAGGGAACTAGATCCCACATGTGTACTGCAACTAAGGAGCCAGCGAGCCATAACTAAGGAGTCTGCGAACCACAACTAAGGAGCCCGCCGGCTGCAACTAAGACCTGGCACAACTAACTAACTAACTAAAATTTAAAAAAAAAATCATCTCCTCCTCTTCCTGGCATATTTCTGTATTTTGATTGCATGCTGACTTAAATATTCACTGATTCTTATGCCCTTCAGAAGTTGCCTGGCAGGCCATTCAAGTGGCAAGTTTTGTTTTTGACCACTGAAACTTAGTTTTTTTATGTAGAGTACCATGTATCTAAGAAGACAAAGTCAAGTTAGCAAAGTCACATTTCCACCTTTTTCTTTTCCTTCTTTTTCCTGCAGCCTCCAAATGTGTCTCTAAAAGCAGATGCAGGACCAGTTACACCTGTTTCTGTTCTGTGTCCCAACCTCGGTGATATCCTCATTGCTTATTAATGCCATGGCTGAAATGCCAAAACTAGGTGTCTGGAAGCATACTTTTTTTTTTTTTTAGTACTTGAGTATTAAAAATGAGTACAGTTGCTCTTAATAGCCTTGTTTGAATATTTTATGACAATCTTGGTTGTTTTGCAGGTACCTGGGGCCCAAGATTTGGTTGATTTCTCTCCTGTTTATCGATGTCTACACATATATTCTGTCCTGGTGAGTCTTTATCTGGCTCTGCCTAATAAAAATTTATATTGAATTCAAAACTCTGCATTCTCATATTTGATAGTTTTTCTGTTTAGTATTAAGAGTAAGGAATAAGAAACTGTTACTTAAGGAGTATCAATTATTAAAAAAATAATTCTTTTCTTCTTGAATCTTTTATTTGTGTTTGCCATGTGATACGCTATAGCTAGTAATGTTAATTTCTATCAGTCATCAACAGATTATTAGATTATACCTAGAAATAGTGACACACAAATTCAGATTTCTATTCTTAATTTAATAATGTAGTTATTTATACAATAGCCTGTCTTTACATATTAAAATAATATTTGTAAAAACTGTTTGCTTTATCATTCCTGATAATTCTTCCTTTGTCATATAACACATATGGGAAGAGGAACCTCTCTGGGGAGAAATATTATGGGTATTAATGGGATTCTAAGAAAGGCGCTTTCTCCTTCTTGGTAGTACACCTACATGCAGACACACAGATACATACGGTCAATAAAAAAATTAAACTATGAAGCTAAAGTATCATCAAAGACAAATTGATGAGAGAAGTCCATTATCGATATATTTTATAGCAAAGTTCAGTGAAACTTCTATCATGTTGTTTTTAGTATATTTGAATATGTCTTATTGCCCAGTGTGTTATCCATTTTCTTTCCTCGTATATTTACCATAGTGTCACTTAGTCATTACTCCAGATGGTTTGGGTGGACGTTATGGCTTGAAGTATTTTTGGTGATCTCCAGTAGTTTGAGAAAAGAGCTGATAGTTTCTTCTCCTCTCCTCTCCTTCCTCCTCCCACTTCTCCTTGCTCTCTGCTTCCCTCTTTCCCTCTCCCTCTTTTTTCACTCTCTATTTCTTCTCTCCACTTATCATTCTTGCTATATAAAAATGAAGCAAGATATAGATAAAATTGTATCAAGGCATCTAAAATAAGTGACAGTTTATTTTCAATATCACGTACAGAGAGTTAAATAAATTATAAACATCTTGGTTTGTGACACACTCTTTTCATCATTTTGTACAAGGCCCCTGTTGTATTTTATTTTATCATGTTTTTTCCATTCATCCCATGTCCATAAGCCCATTTGTCTCTCATCCCCAAGTATAGTAACTCTAATATGTTTAATATATGATCATGGTTGTGTTTGTGTCCTTGAAAAATATATAGTGACTTGTATATGTATTTGTTTTTAACTTATTCAGATCGTATTGTCTTACTGACCTAGTTCTGTTTCTTATATCTTTTGCTTAGCGCTATTTTTAATATCTGTCCTCCTTATAGTCTGTATATCTAGTTCATTGCCTCCCACTTAAACGTGATAGTTAATTGATGGTTTGTATTTGCTGTATTTAATTATCTATTACTTTAGTGATAACACTTAAATTGCCTATAATATTCTGCTGTAACAAATAGTACCCTCTTATGGACTGGTGTGTAAGTTTCTATGTTTTCTATACCTAGGCATGAAATTCTCGGGTTATAAGGTATATGTATCAATATAATATTTAATTTCACCAATTTCTAATTTCTGCTAACCTGATGGATATTGATATCATTTTAATTTGCATTTCTCTGATGACTGGTAACATTATGTTTCTCTCTATAGACTTATTAATCATTTAAGATTTTTCTTCTCTGAACGGCCTACTTTTGGTCTTTGTTCAGTTTTTTTAATTGGATTTCTTGTTTTTGTCTTTTCTGTTTGCCGGAAAGAGACATTTCAGAAATTCTTCCAATATTGTAGATATTAACAGTTTAAGATATTACAGATATCTTTTTTCCAGTTTGCCACCAGATTCTAAACTATGTCTGTGTTATCTTTTGTGAAACAGAACTCTTTGATTTTAATATAATCAAGTCAATCAGTATTAACCTTATAATCTGTACTTTTTGATTCTTGTTTTTAAAAAATCCCTCTCTCTTTCAAGGTCATAGAGCATTCCTCTTCCATTACCTTTAACATTTTATCATTCACATTTTGATTTTGATCCATCTTGTTTTCACTGCTGTATGTTTAGGTATGAGGTAGGGGTCCAACTCAATTGTTTTCTATGTGAGAAATTCAGTTTTATTAATCCCATCTATTACATAATCTGTACATCACTCAGTAATTCCTGTTAGTACATCTGGCATACACTAAATATTCATATTTATGTGAATCTGTTTCTCAGCTCTATAGTTTGTTATATTTGGTTTTGTAATATATCTACATATATAGTAAAAGAAGTACCTTCTCATTTTTCCTCTTTTAAATTGCTTTCACTATTTATAGAACTTTATTTTTCCATATATATTTTATAGTCAGTTTGAGTTTATAAGAAAAAATTTCTTAGAATATTTGTTTGAATCAATTGAATTTATAGATAAGTTTTGGGAAGAAGTGACCACTTTATAATGGTAAGTTATCCCATTTGTGGAAGAATAAGATCTACTTTAAAGTTATTTAATTAAGATGTGTTTCTATGTTAATAGCCTTGGGCGTTTTTTTTAAGTTAACAAGAAAATGCTTATAGTTTTTGTTGCTATTTTCTACTTTATTTTCTAATATTATTGCTGATATTGAGAAACACTATTGATTTTTGTAAGTTAACCTACATCTGACAACCTGCTCAACTCTTTTGCTAGTTATTGTAGTTTGTTTTTTTGGTTTATGATAGGTTTTCTGTGTAGTTGATCATAATATATGCAGATATTCACTTTGTTTCTTTTCTTCCTAGCCATATATCTCTTTGTTCTTATTGTGCTGTTGTATTGACCAGGATCATCATTACTTTGTTGTCTAGTAAAGTGATAGTGGACATCCTTCTGTGTTTTCTAATTTCAAAGAGAAAGTATCTAAAGTTTCTCCATTAACTTGATGTTTGCAATAGGATTTTGGTAAATATTCTTTATCTAGTTATTCCTAGACTTCTTATAATTTCTTATAAAACCATAAATGAGTACTGAATTTTATTGAATTTGTTTTCCAAATATACTGATATAATGCTACGGTTTTTATCCTTTAATTCATGAAGGTGATGGATTTCATTGATAGATATTTCTGATATTAAACAATCCTTGCATTCCTTAGATAAATCCAACTTGATGAGGATGTATTACTGCCTTTTTTTTTTTTTAACACCCTGTGGAATTCAACTGCTTTTTGTTTATTTATTTTATTTTTCATCTTTTTTGTGTTTCTGTTTATGGCCATAGTTTTCTTTTCTTTTCTTCTAACTCTTTTTTTTTTTTTGCATTGTCTTTATGTGGTTTGTAAGTCAGTGTTATTTTAACCTCTTTAGAATTGTTGAACATTCATCCCTTTCTTCTATTTTATAAAATGATTTGTATAAGATAGAAGTTATCTATTTATTGAAAGTTGAATAGAAATCACATATGCAGTAATACACATTTTTCCTTTGCCACGTACTTCCCTCTCCTTTCTCTCTTATTATCTTGCTTCCATGCTCCATGATTTTGTTTAGTCTCTTCAATAGTATGTATGGCTAAAGAACCATATTTGCTCATATAAAGTTTTATAAGCCTCATAATTGCAAAATCAAGTGCATATTTCCTCTCAAATAGTGTAAAGTCTTGAAAATGGGTAGTTTGTTTAGTTTAATGCTATATCCTCAGTACTTACAACAGTACTTAGTGTAGGTACTCAATAAATACTAGTTGAATGAATAGATAAATAAGTGGTACCTAAAGATGGATAAGTCAAGGACTTATGCTTTTACAAAACTATAATATATCAGGAAAGAAGTTACAACCTTTGAATGACTATAATATGACAGCACTATATCATCACTGTGTGTATGCTAGTTTTTTAAGCTTTATTAAGATTTAATGATACAGAAAATATAACAAATTTTCCTCAAGTGAGAATTCTAGTAGTGATTCATAAGAGTACTGAGGTAATTTATTTGCACACTAGTGGTGTTAAGCAAGTCACCCAAACCTTAGCTTTCTCATGTATAAAATGCAATAATAATTACCACTTAGTGCAGTTATAGATATTGTATGAACGGTGCCTATCTCTGGCACATAGTTGGCATTTAATAAATGGTAGTTAATATGGGAAAAATTATGTGTCTCTGATGTGGTCATTAGACATGTTATTGGTATTTTTCAAAGTATATGACAAAGTGTAGACATGTTGATAGAGGTTGTAGTTTCTGCCATCAACATGCAAAGTTTATCAATTATTGAAAATTCGCACATTCTTAAATATACAAAGCCTATATAATCTTAAATTGTGAGGACAAAACAGGGAGACCTTTAACTGCCCACTTCAAAATAAATTCTATACACTGGTATTCAATAATATTGAAATATTTATTGTTCATAAATTTTAAAGCATTGTTTATATGGCAGAAACAGGCCTCTTCCCCCAATCATAACGTTTCTTGAGTTTTGAAGAAACACCCTATCTCAACGAGGGTGATAAGAACTCAGCTCTATTTTTTCTGGAATACATGTTTATTTTTTAGATGTCGCTGTTCCATTCCTATAGGGAATTTAAATAACTCAGATATCTCATTTGCTAAAGCGAGGGCCACAGCATGTATAACTTCCAGGGTTGACTTTTCACAGCTTTTTGGGGGCAGTAATTTATCACTTTTCTGTACTTGTTTCCACATTCTCAAATCACTAATTTGTATTATTGTATAATGAAAGATAGCTCCTCATAATATTAATGACAAATATATTTAATATAAATATTCATAATGTTTTCTTATTTCCTGATGTACTTAATATTAACATTAGGCTTTAAGAAGAGATTTAGGAATAGAGAAATAGAGAAGCTTATTAGAGGACTGAGGAGAAAGTAGTTTTTCTCTCTCTCATTCCTTTCCATTCCTATACTTGTCTCTACTTCTTTACTCTTCATTCTCCCATCAACCCAGGATATTTATCTTCTGTTCATACCACTACCCTGAATCTGTATCTTACTGGACTTTTCAGCTGCTTTTGACTTTGTTGACAGTTTACCACT